TCCTGCTGTAGGAGAGGACGTATTTAAAGAGGCTGCTCAAAATGGCCAGCAACCAAGTAATACTGGTTCTCTTCTACGGAGAAATCTGGAAATCACTTTCTACAGCCATACCTCAAAACGCTTCCATGAACAGAAGAAACGCATACACCAGCATCTGGAGTCCAACAGAAGACAAAGCCCCTCTATACCAACTGCAAGCGAGCGGACCCAGTTTGCACAAATCTGGAGCAGCACTGACTGTTACGACACCACCTCAGTTCCCCAAAGCGTACGCAGAACGCAGCGATGGAAGCTGGATAGCAGCACTGATCATTGGCATAATTTTGATTAGTATGATAATGGCTATTATTGTAATTATTCTGTGGAAATGCTGCAAGAGGCCAGTTCTAGTCGATTCAAATTGGGCAGGTCGTTCTCCATTTGCAGATGGAGACACACCAGATGTCTTGATGGACTCTGACCAGGTCACCAAACGTTCATCGGTTTTGTTTATGTTGCCTTGGAAATTGAAACAAGACACAAACTTACAGCAGGATCCCCCCGCCCCAGAGAAGCCACCCCACTGCTCCGCCGGTGACGAGAACAGCCCGTTGCCTCCACCGGCCCAAGGCTGCCCCGCAGCCAGCGTTTCGGCCCCCAGCACGGAGGCATCTCCAGCTCCCACCTCGGAAGCAGTAAGCTGTGCACGTGACTCCTGTTCTCAGCCAGCGGTTTTACCCGAATCCCCAGATCTGCCACCTCCACCTGACTGGCTCAGGGAACCAACCGAGGATCACTGTTCAGATCTCAGCAAGAACCAGGAATTTCCCCCAGAATCAGAGGAACAACTGCCCCCACCACCCGAGTTACTTATCCAAGAGATTCATGAACCACTGCCCCAGCTGCCCCAGCCAGAACACCCCTTGTAGACCGCCAAAATGGGCTTCCAGCATACTTCACGTTTTTCTTAAATGAAGTATTCTTCAAATAAGTGAAAAAAGGGGAAGTTGGCCCAGGCAAGAACAGCGAGACCACAGCACGAGCACTTCCCCAGCGTTTCTTAACTTCAGCTTTCACAAAAGGGAACAACCCGCTTCTGCCTGGAGCAAATCCTTTCAAAATACAATACGGATCGTGTCCACTAGTTATCTGTAACTAGTGATTCTGGATTTTGGAGACTACCGAGAACAGAGGACACACACCTTTGTGTGCCAGTACCTGCATATATATAACATACACGTAGACACGGAGCTTTCAAGAGACAGCACAGCTTTAGAGGTACTCAGGGCTTCTAGAAATTGTTCGTTCTGCTAGGCTGTACAAGCGAATGCAATGAATTCAAGTTAATTTTAATAAAGCTTTCTGATTCAAAGATGTTTTGGTCACTTAAAGCACAACCGAATATTGGCTTAGATACAAAGCTCTGAATTCAGAGCAAAGTCTGAATGCCTCGACATGCATTCCTATCGTCTGTCATACAAAGGCCCATTTTCTGCATCTAACAGGGTAACAACTTGGTGGCAACGGATTACAGGGATCCGAAAGAAATCCTCCTAACAGCCACCGGTTGTTCTTTACTAATAGCAGTGAGATTTCCTTTAGACCAAATACTGCCTGAAAGTGCAGCGGTGTGAACCCCCCGGCCACTTCACACTGTTGCTTGCTAAAGCGGAGAACGGTGCAAGTAAACAGTTAACACAGCGGTCACTACAGCTCTGAAACGGCTCCAAACACTTGAAGAACAAGCACAAAAAGGCTTTCTTTTACCTAGGCACTTCTGAGTTTTACGGATAAAACAGAAACAGTTTGCAGAACACCAGACAAACGATCAGCAGAATCAGTTGTGCGCATTCACTAATTTCCTCCTCTGAAGCAGTATTTTCAGAATGCCCCCAGTATTATCAACATAAACTTTAAAAATTAATGCTGCAGGGATGCCAAATTCCTTTTAACTCAAGGTGCCCAAGCGTTTGGCCTATTCCTTTGTGGGCCCTGAGCACCAGCGAAGCTCACCGTCCTGTCTAAAACCGCACACTTTATAGGCTGACTTTTTGGTGGGAAGCAGGAGGGTGGGCTCAGAAGTAAATGTTTTTATTTTTATTTAACCAGTATGCAATGCTTAGATTGACAGAAAGAAGCCCCCAGATGCTGAAGCTAGCTTTCCACGACACCTCTGCAAAATGGCAAAGAGTTTGTAGGTTTGAGTTTGATTGGGGAGAGAATATATTTGTGGATGTTGCATGCAGCACATGTTTGCACATACTGTAACAACAGACTTCAAAATCTTTTAATTACTGCTAAAAACTAAAGTCATAAGTTATGCAAATACACTTCTGGGCTGCTGTGCATACAATGGACTTCGGTAAAGATATTTACAATTTTTCCTCACCGGTTAGATGAGCTGTATGATTGTGCATGCCTAAAGAACAGCATTCCAAATACACTGAGATTTTTTTTTTTTTTTAAGGCTTGTTGCACTACACCACATCAAAATTAACAGCACTGTAAACTGCATCCAGCCTTACCATGCTGTTCAGGAAAACTCAGGTAACGACTTCCTGTAGCAATCTGAAATCCTACAAGCTGAGCTATATTATACCTGACAATACAGTCATAGCCTGATCTGAGGAGCAGAAAACCGAACAGTTTAAAATTATGAAAAGATATTCTGGCAGTGTAGCCTAAAAAAGCTTAAGACAGGCAGCCTAAACTAACAGCAACCTTTATTACAGGAGGAGAAGCTAATTGAAGGTAAAAAAGAACACAACTTAACGTGACTTTTTAAGTAGGAACATTTAAGGGGAATCAAAGCTTCAGCTAAAACAGCCCACAGCGATTTCATCCGGTACTGTTGATGCAGGCAAGCTGACATGCTGCGTTTTGAGGCATTAACTCAGCATAAAACACAGACACGGAGAAGCTAACTGATTCAAATTATAAAACCCAACTATTTTATTGAATATGCTCGCTTCGCAGTAAATTTGAGTCAGCACCAGCGACAGCTCTGCAGTCCTCCAATGTAGTGCAGATCAGGTGGTTGCAGAGCCCCAGCTAGCAGCAATACGATGCAGCTGAAGAGGCAAGCACAATCCACAGACAGCAACTGTAGCCACCCTCTAGAACAAGACGACCTCTAAGCTTAAATCTTTCACAGGAATGATGTGCTGATACTGCAGAAGAGATCACGGTAAGTTTGCGGGTTTTGATTTTAATCACAAAAACCTACTAAAAAATTAGAGACAGAAACAAGAATGAATTATTAGTTGATGACAGAGGCTTGCACCAGAAATTTGCTGCAGTGTCAGAGATTTCTTACTAACGTTAATTCAGCTTTCAAACATGTGTTACCAGCTTTGAGAATGTAATTAACACTATAACAAGGAAAAATAATCATGTGCATGTTAGCATGAACATGGAATTTGGGTTTCAAACTAAATTCCTAACAATTTAAGATATGTTTTAACCAATTCTACTTAAGCAAATAGAATGCATGTACGGGGGGGACTGCAGAGATTTGTAAAGCAGATCCAGTTGACAGCCATTTTTTCATCCTGTATAAAAGAACACATTATTCCAAACATAATATAGGCTTGAAATCACTAAAAACAAGAAGCAGACATTGTATAACATTTGGAAGAGACTTGCATTTTCGGAAGAAAGCCCTCATTTGAGCTTGAGGGGGAAAGGGAGATGAAAAAACAAGTCTCATTCTGCCAGACAACATGACAGTCTATGAAGGGATGCTTTGTAAAGTCTCTCTTGAACAATTCTAAAAAGGACCGTGCCACAAAGGGGTTTATTGATATTTTTACTTAATTTCTCCTGCCAGTGGTCATTGCAAAGACAACCCTTATAAAGAAATAAAATATATTACATGAATTTCAAGGGTGTCATTTTGGTATATTTATTTTCAGGCAACAATGGAATACCAGATATTGAATACAGCTACCTGTCTGCTGGTCCTTCTGTTTTTCATACCCACTGTTTTGGGTGTCTGTCCTTCTAACTGTACATGCTCAGGAAACGACAGGAATGTGGACTGTTCAGGCAGAAACTTAACTATACTGCCACACGGACTGCAAGACAACATCACATATTTAAATCTGTCCTTTAACCAGTTTGTAGATCTCGATCATCAGCTAACGAGATTCACCAATTTGAGGACCCTTGATATTTCAAATAATTGGCTCAAGAACGTTCCTGCTCATCTGCCCAAGTCCTTATGGGAATTATATGCCATAAACAACAACATTAAGGTTCTTCAGAAACTTGATACAGCTTACCAGTGGAATCTTAGAGTGCTCGATGTTTCCAGGAATATGGTGGAAAGAGCTGTTCTGATCAACAACACCCTGAGCAGCCTCAAGTTTCTCAATCTCAGCAGCAACAAACTTTGGACAGTTCCAACCAATATGCCCTACAACATAGAGACGGTGGATCTATCCAATAACTTCTTGTCCCAGATACTCCCAGGAACGCTGGTGAGACTACAACATCTCACGAGTCTCTACCTGCACAACAACAAGTTCACATACATTCCTGACAAAGCTTTTGACCAGCTCTTTCAGCTGCAAGTAGTAACACTATATAACAACCCATGGTCCTGCAGCGACACACAGAATATCCCTTACTTGCTTAAATGGGTGCAGGGGACAGCTGCCAGCGTTGTAGGGGCTCCCTGCGCTGACCGACCCGCGCTCTGGATGAACGCCACACCAGCTCCGGCGGCTCCCACAGTTATGGACTCCAGCCTCATGATTAAAGGAATGAAGGCAGCGGACAAAGCTACTTCTCCAGGGGCAACTGAACCAACCAAAGTGACAAAAATGCACAAACAGTTTAAAGCTAAGGAAGTTACGACCTTGGCCACCTTAAGCCAAACTGTACTGTTTACGAGCACAGACCGACCCCTCCTCCTCTATCCAGAAGACACGACCACGAGGAAGGTCAGCTCCCAAGAAGCAGCGGCCACACACACAATCCACATCCAAGATTCAACCGAGGTGAACTCAAGCCTGCCTCGTTCAACAGGATCATCCACTACTCCTATGACTTTAAGTATCACCAGTGGAATGCCAACAAACTACTCCAAAATGCCTCAAAGCACAACTGCTACCTTAAGGAAAGAGGAGTCCACGACAAATATTTTGAATACTCGTGTGCCCTCCAAAGCAAGTACCTGTGAGATATACTTGGTTTATGTTGTAATGCTTAATGCGGTGGCAAAGTTTATTGGCTAAGGGCTTGTATCGTGTGAAAATTACTGAGTTTACTCCTGTGATACATAGCTGGAGCTAAGACATCCAGTCGAAATAATGAGTCAAAATATGAGAAATTTAGAGTTCTGACTCTGATCTAAAGAAAATAACAGTTCTTAAAGGAGTGCACACTAACGTCTTGATACTAAGCTGCTACTTATTTTAATATGTCTTAATTGAGTAAAACTAACCTATGATTTTGTTTTTAAAACTGTGCTTCTTTTGTATTTAAATTTTTAATTTTACTTGCACAGAATAAAACATCAGAATTTTAAGTACTGATTTTATGTATGATTTTGTCATTAAACAACTGGAAAAAAAAAATAGAAGGCCTGTATCATATCTGCATTGTCTTGCTTGACTTGCCAGTGAGCAACTCTTGTAATATAGCAGCACAGATTCTTTGTAAGTTACGACGACGCGCAAAAGGAAGGGAAAAAAATAAAGGAACTAAACCTAGCTGTTTCACTAATCAGAAGTTATTCCTGAGAAAAATCGCTAGCATGTGTATCTATGTTTGCTTCATATATATTAGGGTATTTTAAATATGAAGAACAGCAGTTTTGAATTTAGGAATTAAATATGACAATGCCATGATGTCTCCTAAGAGGGTGAAAACCAAGAAGGCAACATGGTCCAACTTCAGCATGGGAAAGCGGTAGGGGCTGATA